CGTTTATTTATTTATTTATTTATTTTCTTCTCTAATTTATCTTTCCCTTTTATTGATCTATTTTTATGTCCTCTATTTTTTATTTCTCTTATTTATTTTTTTCTCTTATCTATCTTTACTTTCACTATATTTTATTTTATTTTCATTTGTTTCTTTTTAAATTTTACATTTTTATTTATTTATTTATTTTACCTTCTTTTCCTTCAATCTATTCATTTTGATTCATCAACCACCAACCCCAACTAAATTGGGATAAAAGTGTTGTTGATGTTAATGTTGTTAATGGTGTGAAGATATGGAGAAGTTTCTTCATTCAAAATCACCGTTGGAACCATAAATAAATTTTGGTTTCCGCAGCCAACGTAACGACAGTAGCTCTAAAATTGTAAGTGCAGATTTAATCCTGGCATCAAAACAAATACTAAATCGCTCTAACTATCATCTCCTCCTGTCCTGATTTTTTTTCTTTTTTCTTTTTTTCCATTTCAGTTGATGGAGATGCACTTGTTACCAATACAGTAGGTTACAGTAGGTTATGACAAACTCCCTAGGGCGGGAAAGGGAGCAAGGCAACTAAGTATTTCAAAAAAAAATATTAGATCCTAAGCTAAATAATCCATGTCAGAAGCAACAACGAAAACGTATGATAAAACCCATAAATGTTGTATTAATTATTAAAAGGCAAACAAAAAGGGAAGTGAGGTGCATAAAATTGAAACACTAAATTGGCATAAGACTCCGTTTAAAAGAAAATATGTCAGTGGGCACACCCTGAATTAAGAAAAAAAGGGAGAGAGACAGAGACACAGAAGTTGAAACTTAAGCTCTAAGTAGGAGTTTAATAATCCAAAACCAAACCACTGACAAATGCATCTCTCTGTCCGAGGATCCATCAGTGGAATTTTTGTCTTTGAAAGCGCAAACATCAGCCCAAGAGCTCATAAGAAATTAAAAGGCAATTGAGCAAGATAACAATTGGCAATTGCGTTTTTTTTTTTGTGTGTGTTAAGCACGTGATCTTTTAAAGTGGGTTTCCCCAACAGATATGCAGAGGGATTTGGCAACCTTGCTCCGTAGATGCTTGCCCTTTTTCTTACTAGTCTTATTTTTTGTTTTTTTGTTATGGAGGACCCTTATTCTCCAATTTCGCTGTAATTTTCTTCTCTTTATCTGGTTGAATTTCTTATTTTATCTAAAATAGAACTTATATGAAAATTGATTTCCAATATTTAATGCTGACTTTTGCTGAAGAAAAGACAAGGTTTCTTGCCAAGCATGCACCAAGTATTACTAGCAATTTTAAAGTACCTTGAAGCTCAATTCTTGGAACCCAACTATTTCGTTCGATATCAACAACTGCAGCTTCACTGTCATCATCATCTGCTGACCAACCAAGCAACATAATGTGCTGAATTGTATTCTTCATGTTCGCATTGATTGCAAGCTGGCTATAGTTATTAAAAAATGAATAAATAAATAAAGCAATATTCGCCATCAGTTTGCATTCCAAGCTTTCTTCAATCAAGAAAGAAATCTAAAACTCTAGGAAGATACTTGAATATAAAATAATATGTTGTGTATTGATCTAATTCAAAGAGTTACAATATATAGAGACTCTAATGGGCTTATATGAAAGGCCCAGACCTAATACAATCAGAATAATTATAGACTCTAATCATATCTAATCAGACTAATCATATCTAATCATATCTAATCAGACTAATCATATCTAATCATATCTAATATATCTAACACTCCCCCTCAAGCTGGTGCGTATATATTGTGAGCACCAAGCTTGTTACAAATGTATTGAACCCGAGGACCTCTAAGAGCTTTAGTGAAGACATCTGCTAGTTGATCAGAGGAGTTGACGAAAGCAGTCTTGATTTCTCCTGATTGAATCTTTTCTCGAATGAAGTGACAATCAATCTCTATATGTTTAGTCCTCTCATGAAAGATAGGATTAGAGGATATATGTAGTGCAGCTTGATTATCACAGATGAGTGTCATAGGTTGTTTCTGTTCACAAAGATGAAGCTCCTGAATCAACTGCTTTAACCAGATTAACTCACAGGTAGTATTTGCCATTGCACAATACTCAGCTTCTGCACTAGACCGAGCAACTACAGGTTGTTTCTTGCTCTTCCACGAAATTAAGTTTCCTCCAAAGAAGACACAATAGCCGGAAGTAGAGCGCCTGTCCGCGGGTGATCCTGCCCAATCAGCATCTGAATAACCACAAATTTCTGTATTTCCCTGATTTGAATACAACAAACCTTTTCCTGGTGCTCCTTTGATGTATTGGAGGATCCTCACAGCAGCATCCCAATGTGAATCACAAGGGGAATCAAGGAACTGACTAGCCGTACTAACAGCGAAAGAAATATCTGGCCTAGTCACAGTAAGATAATTGAGCTTCCCAATTAGCCTCCGATAATGTCCAGGATCAGATAACGGCTCCCCCTGTCCGGGCAATAACTTGACATTAGGATCCATGGGTGTATCAACTGGTTTACTCCCCAACATACCAGTTTCTTCGAGGATATCCAAGGCATATTTCCTTTGACAAATAGAAATGCCCTGTCTAGATTGCGCCACCTCAATTCCCAAGAAGTAACGCAGCTTCCCAAGGTCCTTCGTTTGAAATGCACTGAATAAATGTTGTTTTAACTGACGAATTCCGTCTTGATCACTTCCGGTGAGAATGATGTCGTCAACATAGACTAACAAATAGATGCACTTGTCAGGAGATGTAATCCTATAAAATACAAAATGATCAACTTTACTGCGCATTAAGCCAAACGCCTGAACGGCAGAACTGAAGCGACTGAACCATGCTCGAGGAGATTGCTTGAGACCATATAAGGATTTTCGAAGACGACACACTTTTCCAGACTCCCCCTGAGCAACAAAACCAGGTGGTTGCTCCATGTAAACTTCCTCTTGCAAATCACCATGAAGAAAGGCATTTTTTATGTCAAGTTAAAGGAGTGGCCAGTGACGAACAGCAACAAGGGCAAGAAATAGGCGGGCTGACGCCATCTTAGCGACCGGAGAGAATGTATCGCCATAATCAAGGCCAAAGATTTGAGTAAAGCCCTTGGCAACTAGGCGTGCCTTGAGTCAATCAACATGACCATCAGGTCCAACTTTTACAGTAAACACCCAGCGACAACCAACTATAGACTTCTCTGGAGGAGCAGAAACAAGGTCCCAAGTGCCATTGGAATGAAGTGCAGTCATCTCATCAAGCATCGCTTGGCGCCACCCTGGATGGGAAAGTGCTTCACCTGTGGTTTTAGGAATAGAAATAGAAGAAAAACTAGAAACAAGGTGAAATAAGGTGAAGAAAGACGGTCATAGCTCAAAAAGGTATAAAGAGGATAAAGGTTACGAGTAGTACGTGTACCTTTTCTTTGAGCAATAGGAAGAGCCTCTGGTGAAGGATCTGGAGGGGAAGAATCAACTGCAGCGGGCAATGAGTCAGCAGGAGTCGAGTCGACAGGAGGCAAAGTTTTACGACGCTGATAAGTGAGAAGTGGACGGTCCGCAGGTATTGAAGCAATAGGTTGCTAATCTAGAATAGAAGTACCTGCAGCTGGCAAAGACAAGTCAAGAAAAGGGACAGGAAGAAATGATCAACCTGAGACAACTGAGATGGGATAGAATGAAAGGGTTGTTGATCAAGAAAAGTGACATCAGCGGAAACTAAGTAACGCTTAAGATCTGGAGAATAACAACGATAACCCTTTTGAAGACGAGAATAACCAAGAAAAATACATTTAAAAGCTTTGGATGTTAACTTGTCCTTACCAGGGGTGAGATCATGAACAAAACAAGTACAACCAAAGACATGTGGGGATAGAGGATAAGAGAGGAACATCTGGAAGCAATAAGTGATAAGGAATGTCATTATCAAGCACAGATGAAGGCATACGGTTGATGAGAAAAGAAGAGGCAAGGACTGCATCGGCCCAGAAGTGAAGAGGAACATGCATGTGAATAAGAAGAGTTTGTGCAGTCTCAATGAGGTGTCTATTCTTACGTTCAGCTACTCCATTTTGTTGTGGAGTGTGAGGACAAGTAGTTTGGTGTAAAGTACCCTGTTTGGCTAAGAAATTAGAAAAGTCCACAAAAACATATTCCTTAGCATTATCACTACGTAAAATACTAATAGAGGCACCAAATTGAGTATGAATTTCAACATAAAATTTTTGATAAATAGAAAACAACTCAGAACGGTTTTTCATTAAATAGATCCAAGTACAACGAGAAAAATCATCAATAAAGGTAACAAAATACTGAAAACCTAAAACAGACACACTACGACTAGGACCCCAAATATCTGAATGAATAATTGAAAAAAGAGCATCAGCTCGTTTATTGACTCGATTAGTGAAGGAGGAGTGTATGTGTTTTCCTTGCTGACATGACTGACAATCTAAAGTCTGAAGATCGGACAAAAGACGAACCATCTTCTGTAACTTGGAAAGACTAGGATGCCCGAGGCGACTGTGGATGAGTTGTGGAGATTCTGCGAGAGAACAAGCAACGGAAGGACTCGTCACAACCAGGTAGAACAGACCCCGTGACTCACAACCCACTCCAATCGTCTTCCCCGTACCTGGATCCTGCACAGAAACAGAATGATTTGAGAAAGTGACAATACAGTTAAGAGAGTTGATCAATTTACTAACAGATATTAAATTGTAAGGGATGTTAGGAATGTAATAGACAGATGTTAAGGTCAATGAGGAGGTTGGACAGATTTGTCCAATTCCATGAACAGGAGCCTTAGTGCCATCAGCAAGGGTAAAAGAGGGTAAGTTATCAGAATATGTAAGGGATGAAAAGAGTTCCTTATTACCACAGAGGTGATCAGTAGCACCTGAGTCAAATATCCAAGGGCCAAGTGATGCAGAATGAGAAACACAAGCAACGGGATTACCAGTTTCTGAAGCAAAGGCCTGCGACTGAGGAGAGACCTTTCTGAGAAGAGTCTAGAATGCTGCATAGTCTTCAGAGGAGAGAGAGAGTGTACCATTTGAAGCAGAATCCGATTGAGCTACATTAGCAGCATAAGAAGGTCGCAGGTGAGGGTACTTTGTGTAGCAACGTTCCTCATAATGACCAAGTTGCTGACAGTAATTACAACGAGGTCGCTGACCACGTCCAACTGGGCCTCCTGGGCCACGTCCTCCTGGGGCTCCTGGACCACGTCCTCCCGGGCCTCTACCACGACCACGTCCACCTCCAATGTTCCCGCGAAAGTCAGTACGGGAAACTAGAGTAGTAGAATCAACAGCAGAAGATGATGCAGGAGCAGATTTCTTATTCAGATTCAGAAGACGCTGATACGTCATTGAAAGATCAGGCTCCCCACTAGTCAAGATAGTATCCCGGACATTATCATATTCTTCAGGGAGGCCAGACAGTGTGGCAACCATAAAGAGGCGTTCCACCTGTTTCCGATATGCAGTAGCATCAGTAGGGTAAGGCAGCATATCCAAATATGCAGATCGACTATTGCCAACATATGACTCCATCTGAATGTCGGATGATTTGCTCAGTTCCATAAACTGAGAGATGATGAAATAGAGCTGTTGAACATCATTAGTGTAGAGGTTTTTTTGCTTCCTGCCACACTTCAGTACAAGTTTGAAACGAATAGAAGATGTCCAAGACAATTGGATCAATAGATTGCCAGAGGATGCTCAGAAGCTGGTTGTCGATCTTTTCCCAATCAGACTTTTCCTCCTTAGGGACATCAATAGACTTAGTCGTGAGGTGGCTCTCATGTCCTTGTCCAAAGAACCAAACTCGAACAGAGGTGGCCCAGTTCTTGTAATTAACAGAACCCTTCAATTTTGAAGAGGTAATGGACCCAACATTGGTAGAGATGATATTGGGAGAATTTTTTACAGGAGGAGGTGGAGAATTGATCTCCGAATGAACAGAACCATCTGCTGCCATAATAAAAAATCAGAAAGATATAAACTGAGTAAATAGGAACGAACCTGATCACCGATCAATAAGGGGTGCGCGCAAAAAGTCAGACCCACACCAAAACAACCACAGATCCAGAAAGAGCAGGAGAAGGCGAGCTTCTCTGTCCAAGACCGGCCGGAAAAAGCCGCCAGAAAAGGGCTCACGGGCCGATAGAAGGTTGCGCGTGAGGCCCACGCGCAGAGGAGCTTGGAGGCGCGTGAGAGCGCGTGGGAGGTGCGTTGTTGACCGGACCTCCACAGACCTGGTCGCCGGGAAGAGACGATCCTGATCGCGTGAAGTTTGGTCGGAAAAGTCGCCGGAAAAAGTCTCTGGTGGCCTGAACAGTGATTCTGGTGGCGAGCGGTGGTTCCGGTGGCCGTCGGAGGTGCTGACGCGTTTGGAAAAATTACTCAGAGGCTGTTTACAGCCCTAGATGGCTTGCCGGAAGGACGCACGGCAAGAAAGAGGACTCCTAAGCAGTGGGCTTAGGTTTTAAAGCAAAAACAAGGTTTCTAAGCAGAAGCGAGGGTCCCCAGAACGAAAGAGCTCTGGTACCAACTTGAATATAAAATAATATGTTGTGTATTGATCTAATTCAGAGAGTTACAATATATAGAGACTCTAATGGGCTTATATGAAAGGCTCAGACCTAATACAATCAGAATAATTACAAACTCTAATCATATCTAATCATATCTAATCAGACTAATCATATCTAATATATTCTAACAATAGCAAATGCAACACAAAACCCAATCATCGATCCAATATTTCAATCACTTTGAACAACCAATCATGTAATCACAGAACATAAGGTGGGGCAACTAGACTAAAGATTTTATATTTTGACTCCCAGAATATTGTTTTTATTTAAAATTCTTGCTACTTATCCTTACTTCCCAATAAGCACTGGTTTTCTGTTTTCCTTATAGACCATCAAGTCATATTAATTTCAAAAATGGTATTTTATATGATATCCATTTATTACACACTAAGGGTCAATTTGGAATTACGTATGGGATAAAATTGCAGAGATCCTTGTATACTCTAAAAGTACTACACTCAATCCAATTAAAGCATAACATGTGGGCTGAATAACCATAAAAGCTGTAGAATTAAATTAAAATATTATTTAATAAATTTTAAATCAAGTCTCCGTTGATAAGAGGATTACTATAAGTATATTTCTCATAAAAATGGGGGTGGAAAATTCATGTATCAGTTTTCAATATAATTTTACTAATAAAATTGACCCATGAACTTTTCACCCCCATTTTTACCTCCGTACCAAATTGACCATAAAAAGGAAAAATCATTAGAAAATTTTATAACATTTATTAGAGAGGGAACAACAATATATTGACACGGACTTGAGCGTGTACAAATAATTAGCAACATATTCATAAACATGAGCAATGAAATCCTCATTTTAAATACGGACTACCTCAATTAGATCTACTAGATATTCGAAGCATTCAACTTATGTGGCCATCTCTATATAGAGTTTACACAACTTAGAGACATTACTACTAGTATGAATGCCATTTTTGAACTAAATAAGACGACTCGCCATTTTTGGAACAGCGATAAGGTTGCTCATTTGTGACCGGAAGGTCACGGGTCCAAGCCTGGAAAACCACCTCTTTGCAAAAATGTAAGGGTAAGCCTGCGTACCCTCACCCATACCCACGTAAAGTTACAGAGCCTTGTACACTGGAATTTTCCCCCTCTTTTAGAGAGCCTTGGAAATTGAGCATTAACTTTGTTGTAGAACAGGGAAACCCTTGGAAGAAGAATCCTCTCGTGTTCTTTGCTTGTAATTTGATAAGGACTTCCTTCCAAACACAATTAAAGGAACAAGAAATGGGTTTCAACAAATCAAATTGTATTTCCGATAAAACTCCAAACAGTACAACTGGTTACAGCAGTGCTACAATATAGGGGAAATAGCTTGGTACAATGAGTTGATACAGAGAAATGTGAAGGAAAGATTACAAGTATACAGAGACTCTTACAGAGAAACGAACAGAGAAAGAATGAATTGTGAAGAGCACATGGAGGGACTCTACTCCCTCCAAAGTCCCAGTCTGACTGAGAATTCCAAGATGCTCCCCTCAGTCCTTCGCTTTCCTATTTAACCAATTCCCCCTCACCACCCATTGTGTTATAGTTTGTTACAACAGTTGTAACTGATTGTCTAGTCAGCATTGGGGACCCACCTTCGCCTATGTTTGTCCCTCTTATAAACCTTCAAGGGCTGAACCGCATCATAATTCAACATCACCAAAGTATTCTTTTTCCTTTCTTTTCTTTGTTTTGCTCATCTCTCTCTCTCTCTCACTCTCTCTGAAAACTCAGGACCCATTTCTGGGTTCCTATCATATGATCTATTAAATTAAGATTCATTGATTTATTAACACTAAAACCAAATTCTGATCATTAAGTTGTTTAATGTAGTAAACAAAATATTATGTTTTATACTATGGTAGCAATTGCACCGGCAGGTTACAAGTTGTATTCAGCCTTACCTTGTCATCAACATCAGTAAAATTCCGCACATATGTCACCTCATATCCCAAGTGTTTAAGGTACCTGCAAATTTTCATGTTAAGCAGAGTACAAACCACATGCTAACTCTCAATCTTAATATCTAGAATAAGAGAAAATAAAAAGGAAGTGTGAACAGACAAAATGGTAAAAAAGTGTGCCAACTTTCAAGTTTTAAATACTCTCGGAAAATCTAATATCTACAATTACGTAAATAAAAATAATAAATGCAGGACTACACCCTGTCAAGAGCAAAAGTAGAAAAGAAAAGACAGCTCCACATTCTAAATTGAATCCATTAGCTAAGTCCTCCAAGCAAGGCATAAAATTATTCAAAGAAGTGAGCATCGCTATTTAAAAGGACCAAAACATTGTGCGGCAAAAAAAGAAGTTCAATTTACATTTATCCATTCATGTAAATCGTTAATGCAAAGCTTTGAACTCTCCCATTATGATTTACAACCTCTAAATTGCTAATGAAGTAAGATACAACAGGTATAGGAACCGCTGTCCGTTTCTGCGTCACAGGAATAAAAAATTCCAAGCATATATAAAAGTAACACAGCGAAGGAAGATAAGGAAAACATTTGTGCAGCGTGATAGATTACCCTAATAATCACTAAAAAGTCATATGCAGGTGAAAATTTCTTCTATCATAAACTGACCCAGCAATGAACAACTGAAACCCCCTAACCCCTTCCTCTAGTTAAAAAAAATAACACATTGAACAATCTACACATCAAGCCAACAATCATGCTCACTCCAAAACTCTCAACAACAAATCCAGAGAAAATAAAAAGAACCCAATTGGGATTCCCCAAAAAGATTCAAATTTTGACAAGAGCAGAACAAAATTAGACGAGTAAGAGCAGAAGCATTGGCGAATAATATTACCTGAAAAGGATGTCAAACGAAACGGCGGCACGAGCATGACCTAGATGGCTGTAGTCATAGGCGGTGACTCCACAGACATACATGGAAACATTGCCGGGGACTTTGGGCTTGAAGATCTCTTTCTGTTGAGTCATAGAATTGTAAATCCTGAAATCAAACTGCTCCTCCGCCATTGTCACAGTTCTATCACTCTTGGCTGCTTCTCTATGAACACCGAATCTTACAGTTCGGCTAAGCGCGTTACAACTTACACCCGCTTTGCCCTAATTGTATTTGATTTTTCTCACCCTTCTTTAACTCTCTCTGTAACGTCAATAGCTTTTTTTTTTTTTTTTTGATAACAACGTCAATAGCTTTTACATAAGAGGGTTTATGAAATGGAATATATTAGCATGTGATTTGAGGAATAAATTTATGTAATAAATGTGTTCTGGGCTGTAACATAAGTCATTAGTCAACGGTAAAAATTCCGTTACATGTACACAAGTTTTTTTATTTTTTTGAGATGGACTCACCATTCGTTAAACCCATAGTGTATGTATCACTAGTATTTAGAGCCTGTTTGGATGAGCTTTTTTTTCTTCAAAAACTACATTTTTTAAGAAAAAAAAGCACTTTTCGAAAAAAATCTGTTTGAATGTCAGCTTTTAAAAAAAATATAAGACATAAAAAAAAGTCAAAAATCTATTTTTTTCGAAAGCTAAAAATTTTAACTTTTAAAAAAGCAAAAATCAAAAGTCAAATATTTTTTAAAAAATCTAAATAGCCGTAACTTTTATAAAAAAATACTTTTAAAATAAGAAAGTGATAAAAAAGACTTTTTTAAAAAGTCAATACAAACGCACCCTTGCACACTACACTTTTTTTTCTTTTTCTTTTTGGATACAGCACACTAGGGGTGTTCGCGGTCTGGATTGGATTGGTTTTGGAAGCAAAACTCATTCGATCCAATCCCTTCGGTTTGATCATGTAATCATCCATTCGGTTTAGATTTTTTTTCAAATCCGATCCGATCCAATCCAATTTTTTTCGGTTTGGATTGGATCGGTTTTCGTTTTTCGGTTTTTTGAATATCCTAAAATTAATTTCATGATTATTGTGAAAATAACATCTTTTGTATATAATGGCTTTGTAAAAAAAAATTGAAATACAAAAATATCAGTAAACAATGCTATAGTTGATGAGACGTGACTAAGTTTTTTTTTTTGGTTTAGTTGATGAGTTAATGGGTCTTGAGTTTAACATCTTTTGGGCTAGTAGTTAATATATTGGATCGGTTTGGATTGGATCGGTTTTCATCAACCCATCGAAAACCGATCCAATCCAATTAAAATTTGCGATTTTCTTTCGGTTTTCAATTTTTCGGTTTTCGATTTATTCGGTTATCAATTTTTCGGTTCGATTTTCGCGGTTTGGATCGGTTGATAAACACCCCTACAGCACACACACTACACTTTCAATCGCACGCTGACTTAGCTCAAGTATCTCACACTGAATAGAATGAAAATTTATACACGAGAAACTCATTTGACTTCGGAATCTTCTAAAATTTAATTATTTTCCTTCGGATTTATATTTACTATTTATTTTCATTATGGTAATTTTAATTGATGATTTTGTCTTTTTAAATTTAGTCATTTAATGTGTTTCGAGAAAGCATGATAGAAGAAATTAATTTTTCATTCAATTCACTGATTAAATCAGTGAAATCTAGATCCTATATTGAGTTTTCAACTCAAAAAATGTTTTTTTAATTAAATTAGATTAATTCAATTTCAATTTTTAATATTTTAAACACTTCCTATCAATTTCTTCGTTCGATTCGATGTGATCCGTTCAAGAATAATTGGACCTAACCAGACACACACAGTTGAGCCTACACCAATTGATGTTGGAAGAGAAACTCCGATGGGATCTAGTGGGCTATGTTGCAAGATAATTCCATAAGATAATTGTATTGATATTGAAGAGTTTTGCTTGTCTAAAACAGACAACGAGATATTTGTACTAAGGTGCTCCGACGTTCAAATCAAACTTTGAACCTTCCTTGTATAGCAGTGGGGTGACATGTTTGTGTCGTCTTGATACGGCGGCATTTACTTTCGTTAGTGAATTATTTTCACAAATGAAATATTTTAAGTGAAATATTTTCACTTATTTAAAGTCGGGCTTAGTTATATTTTCCATTCAATCATAACGTAAAGAATCTTGAAATACATCACCCCAAAAGCTAGCTCAAAGGGTAGGAATGTCCAAGGCCTTATAAACTCTACATTAGTTGCATATACAACAATTTGAGACTATATATCTCAACACATAAAACATACCACCACCCCAAACGACCAAAAAAAAATAAAAAATGGTAGTGAATCCACGCAAGTGCCAATGCCTTTCAAATGAAATTAAGATAAGCAAAAAGTTACGAGTGCATTCCGAAGTCCAATTTCTGGCAACGAAAAATCAATGACACTATGAAAAGCAAATGAAGCAATCATCGAAAAAATAAAAAGAAACATTAACGAATGTAACAATTGAAAAATACAAAATCAAGTTAAAAAAAACAACCCTACAATTAATTTGTCGAAAATTCTTGTGGAACAAAAAATGAACAAATTTGGCACGCAGAAGCGTAAGCATTAAACAAAACTCGTTGACAGGAAAAGGGGAGCGTGAAAGTTAAATTTGAAGAGCTATATGGATTCCTGCCTCTGCATTTTCATCTGCTGGTAGAATCTCTCAATGAACCTCTCTGCCTTCTGATCAACTGATTCACCTTCATCCTCTGAGTCTGAATCAAAAGCCTCAAACAAATCCTCTGCTATGATGGCATTTTCAATTTCAATGGGTGGCAGTCGCAGTGGCAGTGGCAGTGGCAGAGCCTCGAGCTTGCACTCCCCAATACCAATGTCACTTCCTCCTACTTTCAAGTTACCCAAGCACCAGAACAGATAGAAGAAGGAACACAAATATCGGGAGCCTCTATTCTTGAATTGGTTTCGACGGTAATGAATGAGAGGAGTGCTTGAAGGGGAGTGCTGGTACTCTCCAATAAAATCATAGTTATAGTGCCTGATGAGCTTGAACTCCTTGCACTTCCTAAATTTCTTGAACAATAGGAGCTTCTGGATCATGGGTTTTCTTAATTTGTGGATGAACCTTACTAGATTTGAGACTTTGTGGGAAATGGGCAAACTTTTTCTGGGCATTTTTGGAGGAAACTTTGAGGAATGTTTGTGGTTGAGAGTCTTGAGACTTTGGTGGGGTTTGCAAGGTAGAGAGGCATGGCGAACTGAAGAGTGCTTTAAGGATACAAAAAGGTGTAATGAAAAAATGGGGGATTGAGATTTGAGGGTGCCAAGTTGTAAAAGGCATGGTCGGTTGTGTTTTCTAGTTATACTATATTCAAGGAATGTGCAAAACTAGCCGTTGAACTCCACGTCGGTGCTATAGACATTTATATTTTATAGTATACCTAAAGTTTTGTAGAGATACGAGACATGTGAGTTTAAAGCTTTTTTCCCCCTTTTATCATTCCTTTCTTCTTTCTCTTTCCCTTTGGGAATGGCTCAATCCTTCTTGGGGGGAAATCAACATTAAATAATTATGTAAATTTTTATGTCACTCAATTTTTATAAAGAATTTCTTGCATAAAATTGACACGCTTAAGTTAATTATTCAAAAACACACATTACATCAATTTGTCTTTTCAAATAAAAATAACATTTTTTTTTCGGTATTCAATAAAAATAAAATTTTAATAATGGAAAATGATATCAAAATTTCATTTTTGTTTAAAATCCTGAGAACACTAATAATGGATTATTTAATTGAGGCTTTGAATTGAGTCACTTTTATTGTATAAGAATTAAATTAATGTCACTCTTTATAGTTAAAAATTAAATTAACAAAAAAATGCTTATTTAATTAATTTATGTATATAAATTTATTGTGTGAATAGGATATTTTATTAAGCCACAACTTCAGCTCTGAGCAAATGTCAAATAAAATTTATGAAAATAATTTTGATTTACTATTAATTCTAAAAGTATATTATTATCCTATAATAAGTTCAAGAGGTAGGATTCTTTGACACCAGTATCAAATTTCAATTTTGACACCTCATCTCAGAGCCGTTAGATCAAAAAAGATCAATGGTGTCACGTGCTTGCAAATCAAAGTCATTGATTTTTTTTTATCTAACAATTCTGAGATAAGGTGTCAAAAGATTCTACCTCTAAGTTCAACTATTTGACTGTGTTAAGACTCTTACATTATGGTTAATTTCCTGTCTTTCTTTTTTGGAAACAAATGTGAAAACAAAGTATTTTGTAAGGTTAAATTCAGTTCATTTTAAATCTTGAGAGGACCAAAAAATCATAGTCGCAACGCAAGCAGCCGACACAATCGGTGTGGGTAAGGCCTTGAAGAGTCATTTGTTTGCAAAACTTGTTCCGATAGGTTTCATTTTTTTAAGATATTCTAATCGGTTCATCGTTTTGCAATTAGTCCAATTTGAGAGTCCTGAAATTGAGATTTTAAACCCCTCCTAAAATGATCCTGTGAATGATCGAATACGTACTCTCACTCCACCTGTTTAGTTCTATGAGCTATCATCATTTGACATGTGATACCTTTCATTGTGTTGTGTTGTATCATGGTATCATTAATCATCGTCCATACTCTTTTTAAGTAGCAACTATTTATACGACAAGAAAAAATAAAAATGATTTTCATGAATTACGATTAAAGGTTTTTATAAATTAATCACTAATTATATGACAAAAAACTAATAAGAATGTTCAAATTTAAAATTTATATAAACTTAATAAATAATATGATTTCTCATATTTTCATTAAATGTTTTATAATTTGATCAAATAAGCTGTGGGAAGAAGAAAACTATTCATAACTTTTATTGTTAAAAATGGAACTAAAAAGAGGTTATAACGTACCACATGTGATTTGGCAAGCGGTTGTTTTCTTTCCCTTCACACAATCCCTTTCACTCTATCGCTTTTTCTATTATAATATTGCATTGAGCGGATCCTTTCACGGTTTCTTCAAGAAATCGCTCTCCCTAACCTCATGAAACTTGAATCAGTTGCACCTTTCATTCATAAATCATAATAGACATTAGTACGTATTTTATTCTTAATTCATGCATATATTATTTCAATTTCACGGGATTCCACAATCGAAAAAGGACAGCCTACTTGAGAATTTTACATTTTCTTTTTGTTTCTGAATTTTTTATCCACTTCTCAATTACGACAGAAAAAAAAATTGCTGCGACGAAATGTTGCTTTAATTTTAAGAATAACTTGAATAAATTCCCTCAAGAACAAACTAAGAAAGTTGACCTATTGGGTAAAACTTAAAAGCCATCATTAATAGCAGAATCCTCAATTCATCATTAGATAAAATAAATATTTATAGTTTTTTTAAGATAAAGATGACAAATGTGTTGGGTTATGCATGGGGAGCTCACGACCGAGAGACTGTCAATCATGAGTCAAGTGAACAGTAACGTTAAGTGAGCTCGGAACACCACAATTAAACCCAAAACCTTAATGCTTTAGGTGCATAAGTCATTTCACTTATATAATGCTCACTTAATTCATTCTTAACCAATATGGAACTTCACCCGCTCACACTTGGATTCTTGAACAAGATGCCCTCAACAAACAAAATCTAAGAATCTTCCAGTAAATCTGCGATAAACATATAATTTTTATGTTGTGATATATATCAAATCCTTCACCTTCAACAATGACATTGTTTGCAAACCTTTTTCGTGATTATATGTAAGAGTAGGTTCTAATTATTTGGTATCCATGCTTTAATCATAGTAACTAAATGTGGCTCTTATTCCTCATGGTTATGCATTAATAAGGCAGCATGTGCCAATGAAATAAGTGTCTGTTCGGATTTTTATTTTTAAGCTAGAAGCTATTTATAAGCAAAAGTTAAGCTAAATAGGTTTTGAGAAAAATTCTTATAATGAAAAATTATTTTTTATATAATGAAAAAAAAAGTTAAAAGGCAAAAGCTCCTCGGAGGAGCTTTTTTTAAGTTCAATTTTTCTTAAATTGTGTATTTTTTTTTAAATGAAGAGCTATAGAGATAGAGAGAAAGATAATTTTTTTAAAAAATGTGCTTTTAAGCTAAATTTTTTATGTAATTACCAAACAACTTTTAGCTTTTTTTAAGCTCTTTTTTTTAGGTTTAGCTTATAAGTTCTTCTAATTTAAAAGAGAGATGATCCAAACAGGCTCTAAGAAAAGAGGTGATAAAGGGTGCAACTCGTTTTGTTCCTCCTTGCTGTATTTTTACCATGTCTTAAATTGGGACAAAATTATTTAAGCAGAATCAAGTATATACCACTTGAATCAATCTCCTTTATTAGCAATTGAGAGGATTCTAACCCGTAGAAAAGGCAACAAAATTATTATATTGTCAAACTCATAATTTCTTTTTCAGGCCAATGGTGGAAATGAGATTTTCATATTCATTATTAAAATGAAACAATTATATAAATAAAAAAATACCCACAATATATTAATCACACAACATAAATCAATACAATATAATATAATATAAATAAAAATACAAAAATTAATTGGATTAACTATAAAATAAATTAATTTTATTTATTATATATTGATACTAATATTTAGATAGATAATAAATATATTTGAGATTGACTAAAAATTAAAATAAATTTAATCATATTTAAATATATATTTTTATCCAATTTTCAAATCTTAATTCAATTACTCTCATCTTGTTTATTTAATTATTATATATTGATATTTAGATAGATATCAAATATATTTAAGATGGACAAAATATATCAAACAACTCTTGCTGATGTCAAGCGTGGTTGCTCAAGCTATGTAAGCAATACTAGTTATTGGGTTTGAAAAGTTAAGGGGACGCCACCAAATTCGTGGATCAATGCATTGTTTCAATTTAACCAATTGTGTCAAGTTTAAGTTCTAGGTATGCAGTTATTATAAAAATTTGATAAGTGGAGCATTGTTGCCCTTGTGATTCTTGTTGCGGACTTGGCAAGTGCATCGGCTGTACAAGTAATAAAATGCACGTGGTAAGAGTATTGTTCCGACAAAGAATGTATTTTCAAGCACTAGTTCGTTAATTTTACTTAAATTGGATAATTCAAATGACAGATTTGATTTAAAATTAATTAATAATTAAAATAAAGATAAGAACAAAATGAAATATAGAAAAGCGTAGTTATGGACTCAATTTTCCTCAATCTCCCTTTTATATTCTGAATTATAGGTAGACACACTGAATGAGAGAAGGAGCTTGGGTTGTGATTAGTTGAATTGGATGGAGCTAAGAAAGGGCATAATACACAAGAGAAAGAGGAGCGGCGGTGAATGGAGTGCCGAGAAAGAAAAGGAAGTAAACGAAGAAGAAAAATAAGAACAAAGGCAAGAGAGAGAGAGAGAGAATGCAGTCATTGTAATCCCTCCTGAACCACATAGCACACGCAGAATGAGTCGCGTCTAGGGGTGAAACTGGGTCGGGCCGGCCTACAGGGGCTCATGGCTCGGCCTATATCAGGCCATACTTGACCTAATATAATTTGTATAATAGGCCGGGCTTGAGTCATAGAAAAGCTTGTTTAATAAAAAGGTCGTAGGCCCACTTTCAAAAGGTCGGGCCTATAAGCCTACAGGCCGGCCTATATTGTACTATTTATTTTAAATAAAATAAAATAGAATAAGTATGCCTTGAAGAAAAAACAAAAGATATAAATTTAATCAATTGGAATTATTTATAACTTAATTATATTCGATTATATTTTAATAGAAATCTTACTTTATTTCTTATATAGGAGGAATCAACATCTCAACATGTTTGATTGTGTATATGAATATATTAAAAGATTTTTGGGAAATGTTATACTTACTACAAGCATCATGATGTGTTTGTTGAATTCATGTAGTTATTTTAATTTACATAGTATGGATTTGTTTGTTGGATCTGATGAAATATATATTATTTAGTTTGAGCATTTTATTTTTGAAAATGAATTAAATGCATATTGTATGAGTTTTGTTATGATTAATGATTCTGTTTGGACGTTGAAATTATGATTTTTTGTGTAGCAACAGAATTTGAGTACTTTGTAAAGTTGATTCATGGTTCTGCATGGAATATAAAAATTAACAGG